CTGGTAATTCATCCTGTAAGATTGAAAACTCTTTTCCATGGACAGAGATCCCAGACAGTGTCTCTGGGGGCTCTGTCCAGGGGGTTCCTGACCCCTGCCAGGGTTCCAGACCTTCCAGGGCAGCCAGAGGGAAGCCCTGGATTCCCACAGTATGTGGGCAAAACTTCTTTCCTGCAGCAGAGCTGCTGGGATTCCTCTGCAGCTGTTTACCTTCCAGGAGAGGAGATGGGAAATGTTGTCACTGAAGTGAGCAGATGGTGCCAATAATGAGTGACACCCTCTGGAGCTGCACAAACACAGGCATCCTCAGCTCCTGGCAGGCACTGACACAAGTTACAGAGTGGGAAAGAACCAAGCTGGGTTAGAGGTGGAGTGCATAAAACCTGTCCTTGCCTTTCAAACCCTTTATTGTGCCTTGTTTTACAGGAATGAGGGGGAGAAGCTGGCAGGGAGTGGTGCCAGTGCCTCCAATAATGATGTGACACAAAGGTAAATGCTCTCACTGCCACTTTCTCTGGTTCTTTGCAAATCTTTGAAGACTGCCACTCCCAATCCAGTCGTGTGCAAGCTGATAAACAGAAATTATAAATTAGCATCACTACTTCATGCTCCTAATCAGTGTCATGCTTCCAATAAACAGGAAGGTACTTAAAACCTACTGATGTTACTTGACCCATCCTCTTTACAGCTCATTTGCCTCATACTCTAAATGTCAGATTTCCATACAGAAATCAAGCAGCTTCTTCTCATGGAAACCTTTCAAGACCATACAAAGAGAGAATCCACAGAAAGCTGTTCCAGATGATATTAATGGAGAGTTTAGTTCGTGCATGTCACTACAAAAAGTGCTATTTAGTAGTTATTGAAATTGAACTTAAGCAATGCAGTCATTTGAAAGTAGTTTAGGAAGGGCATCTGCTGAGTGGAATTACACTTAAAAATGGATCCACTGAGGATGTTTTTAAATATATTTTCTCATATCCCTCTGATATCCTGAGTGACACAAAAGTTCTAACTGCTAAATAAAATCTCCTCCCCTGCCACAAGTTTATAGAAAAGCTGCATCCTCTTTTGATAAAATTAAGTTAATGATGACATGAAAACCTATGAAAAAAATAGAGTTAGTGCACTGATTTCCATTTTAAGACACTCCTCTGGAAGTATCATATGCCTGTTTTCCCAGTCCCACAAACAGCCTTGCTGCTTGCTATTTCAGAACAGCACCTGTGTCAGCAGGCAGGCCCACAGCTCAGCACAAGATTAGGAGATGCTGAGGCAGAATATAGGACAGTCCCTGTGTGTGTGTACATGCATCTCCTGAAGCTGTGCTGCAGTCAGGGATGAAGCTGAGTTCAGATTTTCATGCAGCAGTAACAGAACAGGACATATCTTGACAGGACAGTTGTAAATGGAGACAAATTTCTTTGCTGATATCTATTTTTGTACTGTATAGTGCATTCCATTTAATAAGCACCCAGGCCAAAGACCTATGGACTAAATCCTCAAGTATTCTTGGCTTTGTGGAAGTCTGAGAAACAGTGTAAAATAAAATACTATGAAATGGAATGCAATACTTAAGTCCTGGTTCCCATTTTTAAAGCCATAAATGACTTCATAACAGACAAATGGGATATTTCAGACATTCAGATTAATTTATTTCCATGGTGAACAACTGAAGAAGAGCTGAATTTGACATTGAGTGTTTGTATTCATACACTTAAATAACTATTGTCTCTATTTTGAGTAGGTGCAGTGATGGCATCTCCTGATTGGCAAAAAAAATCGATTTATACCAGAAAAAAAAGCATTGCCTGAATCAGTGCTTATTGCAAAATACATTTCTATAAAAACCTGCAAAACTGTTCTCCTGCCTTTCCTTTCCTTTAAGAATGGTATTATTACTCTTCAGAATTACAATCTTTTACAGTTACTAAGTTATAAACTCTTTGTCCTATATGAATTATTTATTTTTTTTTCTTTTTGACAGAACACAAGACAATTCTCAAATCAGAAAATCTTTCAAGCTACTTGAATGATATGCTATTCTGGAAATGAAAAAAAAAAATCATTCATTAAAAACCCAAATAACAAAAAATGAGATTTTAGAATGATCAGTTCCATCCCTGTTTCCTTCTCTATCTACTGGTAGCATGAATTAGGTTTTATGCAGAAATAAATATCCTTTACTTTTTACAGTGATTGAAGAATTAAATAGGAGAAATTATGACAATGAAATCTCAAAAAAAGAAAAAGTCTTAAATTCTCATGGATATCTCTTAAATATTTCACAAAATATAAATTTGGGTTAGTAAACATTAGAAAATGTAAGGATGTATTAAGCAGATCTCATCAGTAATTCAACAGTCTTTGAGGAGTAAGTATAATTATCATTTTCCAGTTAAAATAACACAGTAGATCAATGCAGTAATGACATAAAGGACCAAGGCAAAGAAAAATTTTTGAGTTCCTAAATATATATATCATAATAGTATATACACAAGCTGCAGGTATGATACAGTGATCCACTATGCTCTAGGGAAAGACAAGGAATTTGGGTAACAAATCCCTGCTATAGATTAGATTAGATTAGATTAGATTAGATTAGATTAGATTAGATTAGATTAGATGTAGTGTAAAATGGTGCTTCACATTTCAGTCCTCTGCACAAAATGGTTTTGGATCAGTGAAATTGATGAGGAATCAAAGAACTTCCCCACTGAGATGCTCATTTCTACTTGTAGCAAGTGGTGCATAGGTAAGTGAAAATTATAAACTCAAGGTTCATAATCCCTTGAAACTAATTAAATACTCATCCTAGGAAAGATTCATTACATGTGACAGCCTCTGGCTGAGATGAAGTGTTTCTCCTCTTCCCTTTGCTCTCAGGCAAAAAGCTGGCATGGAAGGAATTCCTCCCTTTGGCTAAAATCTTCCCACCCACTACTTTTCTCTCCATTTCTTGTCATTGAGATTGCCAAAAGCTGCCCTAGCAAGGATTCTGGGGTAGCAGGTATTAAATATGCCTCACTTTTTTCCTGGCTTTTGCGGTTTTTCTGTTCCCTGTCTGTCACCTTCAGCACTGGGAGTGGTGACATAACCCAGCGCTGTCATGCACTGCCATTTCCCTCCTCCCACCCCTCTCCTGATTAACATTTGGGTTTATATATGCCACTGGAAATGAGTTCACTGTGATCATTAGACTACAGTTGGTCTGATGCATAATAAATATTTCTTAGAGATTTCTTTGTTTTAACACGGGGATTTGATCTATTTTATTTCCTTCCAAACTTTCCACTGTGCACACATTGTGCTCTTCTCAGTCCAGAATTTTGAAGCACAGAGCTTTCATGTTTCATAAGAGCTTCCCGAGTTTTATTTTGAACCTTGTTGTTTTGATAGTTCTTTATTCTGTCAGCAATCACTGTAATAGAATGGTACTCAGGGGAGAGGGAGGTTTTTGCTACAAAAAAGTCAGTATTTTTTCTGAGATCCCTTCTGCTGGGGTTATGTCTGACTCTAAAAAGAGTTGTCTAACCACACATTCTGTCAATCATCCAAAAGAGAATATCTACTTTCAGTCTTCATTCAGTCCCTAGGAGAAATCTGACAAGACATCCCAAGAAAATAAATGTCAGAACTGGCCCGAAAAAATGGGAAATCCATAGATTCTAATTGTGTTTCTTCTTCTGTAGAGCTGGGCCTTCTGTATGCAATAAGATATACTTACAGTTTTTCCACTGGCGTATGGAGACAGACATGCAATTACTGTGTCCCACCATCCCTTAAAAAAGGTAGAAGCATCCCAAAATGAGATTATACTGAGGAATTTGGAGTGGATGGTAAACATAAAATTGCAAAGATTAACTTCCATCACAAAATAGAAAAGGAATCATCGGTGCCCCGGAGGATGGACAACAAGGGTGGTTCACTAAAGGCTGTGGTGAAGTCACTTTTGTTTATCTCTGTTCACTGCATGCCGAGTACAGCAGGCACAGGGATTTTATGGCATCCAGTCCTACACAGTAAAGGACTTGTGCAGCCAGACATACACCAGGCCAAGGTGCTCCATAGCTTGGCATTCCAGAAAATCCAACAGATCCACTCACTTCTTTGTGTTTTAGCCCCTGACAAATTAGCACTTTATTGTGTTGTCTCCACACACACACAGAGCACCTCTTTCTTCCTAAAACACAGGTCATTCAGCTAATATTAATCACTACTTAATGTATTATCAGAATAAAATTTAACCACAGCATAAAAAGAGTAGCATTCCCCAGGTGGCCATAGCTGACCCAAATCCATCCAGGATCTGAGTGACTTCAAATTAGATGTATGAATCAGCTCTAGCTTTCTAAATGCCTGATCTGAGAAAAACTGAAATAAGGTGAGTGAAGACACTGGAGAAAGGAAGTGCCTGAAGGCTGCAAACTGAGGAGAAAGGATTTAGCTTGGTAAACTTCTTAAAATCTGCCTCAGAGTGGAATAACCATTATGGGAACCAGCAACAAGCACAGCAGATCATATTCCCATCATCATTTTCTGTGCACTGAGCAGGTAATACCTTTTTAAAGTGATCTCTGAATGGGCTTGTAGCTGCCAGAGGACACTGTTATTGCTTTGGTCATGTTAGACTGGGGCTGCTTTTTCCTTTATTCTTTCTGGATGGTCTCACAGGTTTATTCTGTAAAATAAGGCCTTTAAGGCCTTCCAGGGGAGGACTGGGGTCTTCTACTCATTGTCTTTCTGTTTGAACCTCTCTTCTTGAAGATTTTGCTCTATGAAAAGCATATCAAAAGCTGTCATGTTATTTCTATATCTAATTCATTTTAGGCCTTTATTCATGAATCCATGCTTTCTCACTAGAAGATAAATGGCAAAATCACTGAGCTAGCAAAACAGTCAGTGGAAGGGAGTGGAAAGCAAACAAACAAACAGATACAAACCAAATTTTGACTGAGAGAGCAGTGATCTGTGGATTAAAAAGAAGAAATAAAGGGCACACTTTCAAATAGTATGTTGGAATCAAAAGCTCTGGACTCTCATCTATGGAGATTGTGTTGCTCAGCAATGGGCTCAGCAAATCATCCTAGTTTATCTTCAATCTGTAAACTGAATAGAATAAAATTTCATTGTCTTTAAAACAGATGGTGGCTTCCAACCATTTCAAACCATAAGCCCAGGGTTAACAGGCTAACCTTTTAAAATTCAGAGGTGCTAAATATGTTCCGTAGGGAATGATGGATGTTTACATGTTGATTTTCTGGGGTTTTATTCAGTTTACATATTGACAAGTTTCAGAACACAAAATAAAGACATGCTGTATATTTAGCCAGACTTGTTTTAGCCCCTGGCTGTCTGTGTACATGATCCCCATTTAAGGCAATCTCATTTTTCTTAGCTGCTCCCTCCTCCAGAACTTCAGGCCTGCTTTAACAGGGCTGCTAATCCCTGCCTCCTGTAAAAACAGCATCTCCCAGGGGAATTTGAATTACAGGAAGAAACAAATACTGCTGCTTGGCAAACTGTGCAGAGACACAGAGTGATTTTTAAAATGATTACTAGCGATATCAAGGGTTGAGTAACTGCACTGCTTATCACCTAAATTACTTTTAGCTCATACTCCATGTCATTCACAAAGTCTAAATCTAATACTGCTTTGTCTTTTGTGTCTCCAACCTGCAACTTCAAGAACATGGTGCTTTGATTGGTCTCATCTGTTCTGCCTAGTGGAAGAAATAGCTTTATCATAGGAGGTGAGCTTCTTAAAAAGAAAATCAGTATTTTGGTCCTCAGACATTGATGCCACCTTCAAACCCAAATGCCATAATGCTATGGTCTTGCAATTAGACATGCTCAAACTGTCTAAACTCTCTGATTCTCACAATTTCCAGTTCCCAGACATGACCTTCATCAAGGTGAATGTGAATGAGCACAGTTTGTTCTCTGTGTATTACTCATATCAAACAGGCACAAGGTTTCTGCTTGTTGGAGATATAATACCCCACATACCTTCCTATTCTAGAGGAGGTCATTCAATCAGCTCTGTTTGGTCACACTTTGAACTGAAGGAAATCACATTTTTTCAGACAAAGTCTTTCTCCAACATTTTTACATTTTGAAGTGGTGGGTTCTTCTGAGTTTATTATCTTTTTACTATTTATGGTTATTTACTTCTCGCTACCTTTTAAGAACAAGCAGAATAGAACTGTTCTACTTTTGATTGCAGTTTGTGCCTCAAACAACTGCACTATCAGGTTCTCACAGAAGGCACCAACCAGGCCTTTTTTCTGTGTTGAAGCCAGTTGCTAGTACAAGTTTTATCCCTTTTTTAGTGGTTTTAAACAGTAGAGGGTGATGGAGACAGACAGAAGCACTGCAAAACAGAAAAAGGCCATCTTGCCCTCCAAAGTGACCTTCAAGTGTAGACTGGATTGGTAATTTGGCTGCACAGTATTGGGAAATTTCTTATTTCCAAGCTTTCTAAGCAAGACTACTCTGCAGATCTGCAGTGTTTTATTGGTAAAAAGGATTGACAATCAGATTTGATCTCAGAATGTGACATGATTTTTTGTGAGCACTGCACAATGCTGCAGTACACTGAAAATAAAAGCTGACAAAACTAGGGGACTGCGGGCCTGGCTGTGGGACCTCACATGCAGGGTGTTTCTGTTCTGATGCCTTCCTTCCACTACACTGAGAAAATCCTATGGGGACAGAGGAGGGGAAAAACAAAATTTATAAAAGGTGAAACGGATGTTTCAGGCAAAAGGGGTGGGTGTGACTGCAAAGATCTGTGGGTTCTTCAGACCTGCCAGGGCAGGTTAATCTGCTTTCCCTGTGTGTAGATCCTTCTTGCCCTTCAGCTAAAGATGCAGCACAAGGTGTCCAGTGCTGGTGAGACCATCGCCATTAGTTATAATGTGTAGAGAACACAGATTGGCTCAATTATACACAAGTTTTGGCACCAATTCTGTGACTTCTGTACCATGTGCAACCCCTGAAAATGCTCAAATGTTCAAATGTCCACTGATTGTGCTGCCTCCATGCTTAAACAAAAAGTATAGACTTTATGCA